CAGATAATATTAAGTGTAGGTGTTAAACCCTCTCATCCCTGGCCCTATAACCCCTAAATTATTTAAACCAGTAACCCTTGAAAATCCTCAAACCTATAACCTTCTAAATCCCTAAACACCCCAAAATCTCTAAACTCCTAAAACCGATAACATTATAAACGACTAAACTCCTAAACCTCTAAACCACTAAACCTCTAACAATCGAAATCCATATACTCTATACACCTCTAAACACCTAACTTTCTAAACCCCTCACCATCTAAAACACTAACCCTCAAAACACCTAAACCTCTAACCCTCTAAACCCCTAACTCTTTCAACCCCTAACCTTCTATACCTTTAAAACCCAACCCTCTAAACCCTCTTAAACACCTAACCATCTAAACCCCTAACCTTATAAACTCTAACCTATAACGCTAAATCCCCAACCTAAATCCCAACCCATCTAAACTCCAATCCTCTAAACCAGAGGTTCCCAACCTCCAGGCCACGGACCACTACCGGTCCGTGGCATGTTAGGGACCGGGCCGCACAGCAGGAGGTGAGCGGTGGGCAAGCGAGCGAAGCTTCATCTGTATTTACAGCCGCTCATCGCTCGCATTACTGCCTGAGCTCCGCCTCCTGTCAGATCAGCAGCAGCATTAGAACCCTACTGTAAACTGCGCATGCGAGGGATCTAGGTTGCACACTCATGAGAAGTCAGAATCCGACACTTATTTTAGTCCGCGCGTAGCCCGCCCACTTCCGTCTGCGCCTCTTTCCCGTACTGCGCAGTTTTGGTAAGCTCACAAGCTAACCCTAGCCAAAATGAGTAAAAAAACAAACATCGCTGGAGAGCTTCTTTGAAAAGGGGGAAAGACCCAATGATGAACCCCCCCCCCCCCCTCTGGTCCGTGAAAAAATTGTCTTCCACGAAACCGGTCCCTGGTGCCAAAAAGGTTGGGGACCACTGCTCTAAACCACTCACCCTCTAAACCCCAAAACCACTAAAACCATAACCCTTTACAACCCCAACCCTCTCATACCATAATAAAGGTTTGTTGGGTTAGATTGTGTAAATGTGTCGTTAAACCCGCCACCATCCGACAGCCAATTAGTAAATCTTGATTTGAAGCTTTTGTGACTGCAGGAATTCATACTCTTTGGTTTATTCGGTAAAGTAAGTAGTTAGAAATAAAATAAATTACGACGTTTCGATCGCAATACAAGCGGTCGTCATCAGGCAAAGGAGTCGGCCTCTAAAGGCAAACAGTTTATAAGGGTTTGGGATGGGTGTTGCCCAAGTGTATCAGCAGCACCAGGAGCATTGGTGGTACACAAGTGCCAATGCAGCAAAAATGCCAATGCAGAAACAATGCCAATGCAGCAGCAATGCGAATGTAGCAGCAATGTGAATGCAGCAACAATGCCAATGCAGTGGGTGAGAGAGCTGCCGTGGCAAGAGGTTACATAGGTAAGAAAGAGGGGGAGGAGCAAGGGGGGAGAGAGAGAGGGGGGGGGGTGTAGGAAGATGGGGGGGGGGGCGTGAGCGCTAAGGGGATAGAGGACGTGAAGCCTGGGGGGGGGGGGGAAGGGGGCGGGGATGCAAGGGGGAGGCTGGGAACGCTGGGAATGCGGGGGGGGGGGGGAAATAACTCGGAAAAAATAGACGAGTACCCGGCAGATATGATGGAACAACCATAAACAATTAAGGTTTTACCTGGTTAATAACATCCTTCCAATGATTGCTCAATTTGTATCCATCTTCTCGGTTAAAGTTATGTCTATGTTTATATATCTGGATGGCTTCATGAACAAACCTTTGATAGTAGCCCGAAGGTTTGCAGAGTACCTTGGTTTCAGAAAAAACTATATCATGCGAGCCCACAGCGTTATAACAATGGTCAACCATGGCAGAGGTATTGGTTCTGCCGTGTTTCAGATCTCCCTTGTGTTCGCGCACACGGTCCGAGACATGTCGTTTTGTTTTCTCAATGTAGCTGCTACCGCAGGTACAAATCAGTTTGTAGACTCCAGATGGGATTAGATCATGGATTAAGAAGGTACTCCACATCGGCCAATCGTCTCCACTATCAACTCACCTACCTACAAACTGGCCCGTTTTCTGTCTGATACCTTGCTTTCATTCATGGGCAAGACTACCTTAGTAGTACATAACAGCTCACTTGGTCTCTCTAATCAAGGGCATTTCACTGTCCCCAGATGATTTGCTCATCAGCTTTGATGTAGTTTCTCTGTTGTTCAAGGTTCCTGTACCTGACACTTTAGCAATAATTGAAGATTTAGTCCAACATGGACTGAATCTTGATGTACCTACTCTGGTTAGGCACTGCCTTACCAACACTTACTTCACTTGAAATGGTACTTTTTACAAACAAAATGAAGGTACCCCCATGGGTTCCCCCTCATCACCAGTGATAGCGAATGTTTTCATGGAGAAATTTGAAACAGATGACATCCAGACATCCACCCTATGTCCTTCCTTGTGGAAGAGATATGTAGATGACACTTTCGTCATTTCGCCACATCAATTCCATACACCCATCCGTCAAATTCACCATGGTAGTGGAGAAGGATGGTAAGCTACCATTCCTGGATGTTTTGTTTGAGAAGAGACCTGACGGCTCGTTGGGACACTGTCTACAGGAAAGCCACCCACACATATTCCTATCTGAAACCTGATTCCCACCACCATCCGGCACAGAATAATTCCCTCATCAAAACACTACACCATAGGGCCCACTGCATTTCCGACCAACACCACCTAGCCAGTGAACTGGAACACGTACACCAGGCCCTCAATGATGAATGGGTACTCGGATCGCATTATTCGCATAGCTGTTTCTCCAACCATGAAGAAACAACCCCCTGAGAAGCTAATCAAAACCATCACATTACCATACATAGCAGGTGTTACCAAAAAGATTTCCAAAATTTTAAACAAACACAAGATCTAGGTCCGATTCAATACAGTACACAAAATCCGTGATCTAATCCCATCTGGAGTCTACAAACTGAGTTGTACCTGCGGTAGCAGTTACATTGGGGAAACGAAACGACATGTCTCGGACCGTGTTCGCGAACACAAGGCAGATCTGAAACACATCAGAACCAATACCTCTGCCGTGGGTGAACATTGTTATAACGTTGTGGGCTCACATGATATAGTTTTTTTCCGAGACCAAGGTACTCTGCAAACCTTCGGGCTACTATCAAAGGTTTGTTCATGAAGCCATCCAGATATATAAACATAGACATAACTTTAACTGAGAAGATGGATACAAATTGAGCAATCATTGGAAGGATGTTATTAACCAGGTAAAACCTTAATTGTTCATGGTTGTTCTATCATATCTGCCGGGTACTAGTCTATTTTTCGGAGTTATTTCCCCCCCGCATCCCCAGCGTTCCCAGCCTCCCACCCACTTCCCCCAAGCTTCACGTCCTCTCTCCCCTTAACGGTAATGCAGCGCCCCCTCATACCCCTATCCCCCCTCTCTCTCTCCCCACTTGCTCCTCTACTCTTTCTTACCAATATAACATCTTGCCATAGCAGCTCTCTCGCCCACTACATTGGCATTGTTGCTGCATTGGCATTGTTGCTGCATTGGCATTGTTGCTTCATTGGCACTCGTGCACCGCCCATGCTCCTGGTGCTGTTGATACACTTGGGCTACGCTCATCCCAAACCCTTATAAACTGTCTGCGTTTAGAGGCTGACTCCTTTGCCTGATGACGACCGCTTGTGTTGCGATCGAAACGTCGTGATTTGTTTTATTTTATTTCTAATTACGTGACTTTACCAAAAGAACCAAAGACCAATTAGTAAAGTTTGTCACATGAACAAAAAGTGCCAATTCGTTTCTCCTTTAGCACACTGATGTGTTGGACTAACCCAAAAAAACCTTTATTATGGATAATATTAGTTGTGAAAGTCTAGGTGTTAAATCCTCTACACTCCTAACCCCTAAACCTCAATACCCTATAAACCTCTAACCCTCAAAACCCCTAAACTTCGAAAACCCAAATCTCCTAAACCCCAAACATCTAAATCCCTAAACTTATAACCCTCTAAAATCCAAACCCTCCAAACCAATAAACATCTAACAATCAAAACCCATACACTCTCTAAACTTCTTAAACACCTAACTCTCTAAACTCATAATCTTCTAAACCCTAACCCAATTAACTCCTAACCCTCTAAACCCCTCACCCTCGAAGCACCTATACCATAAAACCCTAAACCTCTGAACCCCGAAACTAAACCCCTAAAAAAACCCTAAACTCTAAAACCTATAACCTTCTAAATTTCTAACCCTCTAAACCACTAAACCTCTACATATCGAAACCCATAAAGCCTCTAAACCTTTAAACACCTAACTATTTAAATCTCTTAACCCATAATATTCTAAACCCTAACCTTCTAAAACCCTAACCCTCTGAACCCCTAACTCTTTAAGTCCCTAAACCCCTAAAACAATAGCCATCTAAACACCTAAACCTCTAAACCCCTTACCCTTTAAAACCCTCCCTCTAAACCCTTAAACCCATCATCCTCTAAACTTGTCAACCCATAAACTTAGTCCAATAAGTATCGAACCCTCTAAACTTCCAACCCTCTAAACCCATCACCCTCTAAACCCCTATAGCCCTAAATCCCTATACCCCTAAACCCCTAACCCTCTTAAACCACTAACCCTCTGTGTGGAGTATGTTGGGTAGTGGGTATCACGCTGTGGGTGGGTGCAGGGTGTGTGTGGTGGGTGGAGGGTATCACAGGGTGGGTGCAGGGTGTGGGTGGTGGGTGGAGGGTATCACAGGGTGGGTGGGTGCAGGGTGAGTGTGGTGGGTGCAGGGTGTGGGTGGTGAGTGGAGGGTATCACAGGGTGGGTGGGTGCAGGGTGTGGGTGGTGGGTGGAGGGTATCACGGACTGGGTGGGTGCAGGGTGTGTGTGGTGGGTGCAGGGTGTGTGTGGTGGGTGCAGGGTGTGTGTGGTGAGTGGAGGGTTTCACAGGGTGGGTGGGTGCAGGGTGTGGGTGGTGGGTGGAGGGTATCACAGGGTGGGTGAGTGCAGGGTGAGTGTGGTGGGTGCAGGGTGTGGGTGGTGGGTGCAGGGTGTGTGTGGTGGGTGCAGGGTGAGTGTGGTGGGTGCAGGGTGTGTGTGGTGGGTGCAGGGTGTGTGTGGTGGGTGCAGGGTGAGTGTGGTGGGTGCAGGGTATCACAGGGTGGGTGGATGCAGGGTGTGGGTGGTGGGTTCAGGGTGAGTGTGGTGGGTGCAGGGTGTGTGTGGTGGGTGCAGGGTGTGTGTGGTGGGTGCAGGGTGTGTGTGGTGGGTGCGGGTTATCACTGACTGGGTGGGTGCAGGGTGTGTGTGGTGGGTGCAGGGTGAGTCTGGTGGGTGCAGGGTGAGTGTGGTGGATGCAGGGTGTGTGTGGTGGGTGCGGGGTATCAAGGACTGGGTGGATGCAAGGTGTGGGTGGTGGGTTGAGGGTATCACAGGGTGGTTGGGTGCAGGGTGAGTGTTTTGAGTGTGGTGAAAGTCGTCAGGGTTCACACCAATCCACCACCTCTACCACCCCTACTGTGCAGTGGACCGGCCACCACAAAGCAGCACACGTCGGAGGAGTGAGCGGATGGCTCTCCCTATGCGGGCCAGGCTCCCTTGCTGCCTCTTCTCCTGCTGTACCATCAACTCCTCCACCAGGGTCTCCTGTACCACCAACTCCTCCACCAGGGTCTCCTCAAGTACTACCAACTTCTCCACCAGAGTATCCTGTACCACCAACTCCTCCACCAGCGTCTCCTCAAGTACCACCAACTCCTCCACCAGAGTCTCCTGTACCACCAACTCCTCCACCAGAGTCTCCTGTACCACCAACTCCTCCAACAGGGTCTCCTGTACCACCAACTCCTCCACCAGCGTCTCCTGTACCACAAACTCCTCCACTAGGGTCTCCTGTACCACCAACTCCTCTACCAGCGTCTCCTCAAGTACCACCAACTCCTCCACCAGAGTCTCCTGTACCACCAACTCCTCCACCAGAGTCTCCTGTACCACCAACTCCTCCACCAGCGTCTCCTGTACCACCAACTCCTCCACCAGCGTCTCCTGTACCATCAACTCCTCCACCAGCGTCTCCTCAAGTACCACAAACTCCTCCACCAGCGTCTCCTCCTGTACCACCAACTCCTCCACCAGGGTCTCCTCCTGTACCACCAACTCCTCCACCAGAGTCTCCTCTTGTACCACCAACTCCTCCACCAGAGTCTCCTCCTCCTCCAGCACCACCAGCTCCTCCACCATGGTCTCTTCTTCCTCCACAACCTTCAACTTCTCTTTAGAGGCCTGGGCGAGCAAGGAGGATGGGCGCTGTGCCGGCTCCACTCTGTGAAGAGATGCGCACGACACCGTTCCAACTTCCTGCTCCAGCAGAAATCAGTCCCCCCCATCCCCCCCATCGTCTATGGGTGGACTAACTGTGTGCCGCAGAAGATTAACCCAGCTAATTAACAGTGCCGCAATAATGCAGCATACCTTTGCCCACCATGAGTCTGGTTACAAAATGGGCATTAGTCTGGCGGTGTCTCAGTGGATGAAGGGCAACTTGGGAAAGATGTTGCCGCTTCATTATCTGTCCTCACCCAGAAACCAATTATGGAAAAATAAATCCGTATATAACCGAATCTACACGTTCTCTTTGGCTGGAACTCACAGCCAGAGAGGACCTGGGTTTGATTCCCATACGTGGGCCACTTTTTCTGTGTGGAATGTGGAGTGTGTTCTACCAACCACCCTACCCTGCCTGCCCCCCCCCCCCCCCTGCATGGGTTCCCAGAATCAGAATCTTTCTTTAAACTGGATGAAGAGGAGTCTGATGAGCTATGAAGCTCTTCTTTCACAGATGTCCAGTCAAGTCACAGGGTCAGCAGGTTATAACAACAAACAAAACAAAAGGAGTCCAAAGTATACCAAAAAAAGCGTATAAATACAAATGGCTTAAGTAAATAAAATCCTGTCAGTTTTTCAACACTAAATGCAAGCTTTTGCAACGCAGTGAAACAGCAACAAAAACAGCCTAACACCACACCAAGACAACACAATCCTTCAATAAAATTGCAAATTAAAATTTCACTTCCATTCCTCTGGGTTTGGCAACTGAACCCTCACAAACACGCTGTGCAACCAGTGTTGGATGGACATCTCCACCAGTGTTGTAAATTGAACCTCCAAATAACTCAATTGGGATCGTACAGTAGCAGTACATTTGTTCTGTACTGCAAAATACTTGGCAGGACCCTCCTGAAAAAAGTATTGAGACTGAGTGAGGCTATTGCTGGCTAAATAAGCGTAGAAGTAGTAGCAATGAAGATAACTAGATATTAAACACACACACACACAGGAGCAGAGTCGTCCCCCAGGGTACGGTGTACAGGGGGTGACCACCCCGGGCCCCGCGCTTTGGGGGGCCCTGCGGTTCGATGTCACGGTGTCAGGCGTAATACTTCCGTTTAACACGTAGGCTATCGCTCCAGATTGGCTCACAAGTGATGACATCACATTTATCACTCTATTTAAGACCGAAAGAGGAGGATTTCTCCACGATTCGTAAGCCCACACGGTGTAACTTGCTCCAGGCCCCGCACCCCCCTATAGACTGCCATGACCACTGGACAAGCAGATGGTGGCTTACCGTCGCTCAGCAGCTCCAGAGTGCTTCACACTGCCAGGAGCAGCAGCGGTGGTGGTGGTGGCTTTGCTGGCCGTGGTGGTGCTGGTGGCCGCAGTCCGGAGCCAGTTATGAGCCAGCGCCTGCACTGGCGTCATACGACAATTCGGATCCCATCTGTTGAGAGATGCACGGGGGACACACGCGGCCACGTGGTGAGAGAGGCATGGTGAGAGCTTTGATGTTCCTTCCCTTCTCCCACGAGGTCCAGGAATGCACAGCAGCAGCGGAAGCCACAGTAGCAGTGGCAGTCCTCTGATGCCCAGCAGCGGCTTGGACAGACCTCCCACTCCTCTACAGAGGGCTAACTCCACAGAGGGCCAGTGGTACCGCTTATTGGCAGGTCCACTCAGCTCCACATCTTCCTGGTGATCGGTGGAGAGCGGTCGCCAATCAATTGGAGGGGGGAATCCTCGTGGGGAGGGGGTGGGAGTGGTGGGTGGTTCTTACCGCAAACAGGAGCTGATGAATTCGACAAACTCCGGGTCATCGCTTTTGAGCACCCTGTGAAGTGGGAAGCTCCCCGGAACCCTTTTCTTGCCTGGGCAGAACATCTTCCCCCGATGGTCTGCAGGATCCATGCACAGCGGAAGAGACGAAGTCACCAACCACCACATCGCCCATCTACCCACTTACTGACCGATTCATCAACCCACTCATCCACCTACCCACCCATACACTCTTCCACCTACCCAATCGCTCACTCACCTATCCACCTACCCACTCACCCACCCACTCATCTACCCACCCACCCACCCTCTCGCTGACCCACTCACCCAACCACTCACCCATTCGCCCAATTACCCACCAACCTACTCGCCTACTCACCCACATACCCATCCACTTGCCCACACACCCATTTACCCACCCACATACCCAAGTAATGTAAAATACAAAGACGCCCCCTCCAAAACAAAATAACAACAGCCTGAGGCCACACCCTAAAACTGAATCCGGTCTGTCATTCACCCCACGCTTCAACTCACCAAAGAACTGCGTTCTGTCGGGTGCTCCATTCACCATGTACCTTGGAGGCATCCCCAGAATCTGCACATGGTTGACATGAAGACAAAGGTCACCCGTATAGCTTCGGCACACTGTCGGGACAAGTGCTGTTAGATCGAGTAGCAAAATTAGCAGCGTTTGTTGAGGGCCAGCACTGTGGCACAGAGAGACAGGAGTGGCGGCTGATTTCAGCCGCATCATCTCTACATAACAAAAAGGCTCAGTCCCTTTAACACGCACCTTTACATCATCCGCACCTAGTTTACACAACAAAGGCTCATTCCTAACAGCGTGCTTCAGCCGCACCGAACCTCACAAAAATAATATTCAGGGACTACCTTGGCTCCTCCCACCCTCAACCAGTATATATACAAGGACTGTTTCTTGGAATTTCTCTCACTTGATACAGCTATCGTGCTGTGAATGTTCCACCTGAAGACGGAAGCTTGTGTTGCCTCCGAAACGTCGTGATTTTTATTTTATTTTTACTTTCATTATTTTTTTATTTTTTACCTACGTGATTACCGAAAAAACCTAAGAATGTGAATCCTTGCAGTCACGAAAGCTTCAAATCTAGAATTAACCCAGGTACTTTACACACTCCACCAGGTACTCATTTGAGGCTGACTCGAACTAGAGGAGGCCCAGGACCAGTTCAGACAATCGTCACTGGTGTTGCCCATGAGCTGGAATCAAACTCAGTTTCTAGCACAGCAGGCTGACTGCTACACTACCACTCCCCCACACATACAAAACACACACGTGTACAGGCAACATACGACGGCCGTTATTCACAGATCACCAAGTGGCCACCCTCCCTCCTGCCACCCCATAGCCCACGACTCCAAGGAGAGAGAGGGGGATCACGAGCGGACAGACGCCGTGTGGGAAATACCTCTATGCAGCGCGGGAGGTGATCTTCGTGGCTGTTGGACCGGAATAATTCCCTGCCCGTCGCCAACTCAGCCACCGTGCAGCCCAGCGCCCACATATCCACTCCACATGTCAAGCTATAGCCCAGCAACAGCTCCGGAGCCAAGTATTCTAGGGTGCCACCAACATTCATAGCTGTACAAAAATCACAAGGACAACAAACATATGTGCGTGTTTACACACTGTGTCTTAAACAGCATATCGTCATGCACATAAACAGTCACATGTACAGGCACTCAGATACTCACACACAGACACACTCAGACAGACACTGACATATGGACACTCACACGGACACAGAGAGACCCATGCATAAAGACAGCCATACAGACACCCACACGCAGACACTCACACACCCAGGTGAGGTCACTCACGTTGACTTTCCACGAAAAAGCTCGTGCCAAAGTCCGTGATCCTCACGGTGCCAGTCACGGTGTCTTTGACGAGAACATTTTCCTGGAGGAGGGGTAGAATGAATTCAAACTCAGAGGTTATGCCGATATCATTCAGCCAGCAGTGGATCAATCACATACCACGACACACGCTAAACAGGGGTACTAGATGAGGCATAGCGCTGTCGACAAGCGTCAGTCAAGAGCAATATTCGCTGTTTTATGACAGCTGTCACTGGGCGGTGCCCCTTTCAAATGTGTCAAAATTAAATTTCGATTTAAAGCTTTCGTGACTGCAGGGATTCATCTTCTTGGTTCTTTCGGTAAAGTCATCACGTAGAAGGGAAGTAATAAAATAATAAAAATTAAACAATAAAACAATTCTCATGACGTTTCGGCCACAACGCAAGCAGCCGTCCTCAGGTGACCTGGTTTTCACCTCAGGACGGCTGCTTGCGTTGTGGCCGAAACGTCGTGAGAATTGTTTTATTATGTTTTATTTTTATTATTTTATTACTTCCCTTCTACGTGACTTTACCGAACGAACCAAGAAGATGCGTCGAAATTGTAGATGTGAGTAGAGGCGTGTCACGTTCAAAGCACTCTCAGGCACCATCAGATTAAAGGGGGGTGGCTCTATTGACAACCGATTGCCGTTGCTCCAACAGGAGAGCTGCATGGAGCTCACAGCTGGATGAGTGCCCGTTAACGAGTTACAGACAAAAAGCCACGCACAAGAGAGTGCACGGATTCCGTGACGCTTTCCACTGCACCTTTGTCTTTGGACGTTTTCAATTTGCAGATTGGAATTCGATAACGAGCAGTTGTCAGGCCAAAATGCACATTTCGCACGTTTTAAAAAAAGTTCTGTTTGACTCCGTTTCGTGTCTCCCAGGGTTTGGGGCAACTCTGATCAACGTTGCCGGTTTTCTCTCTGGTGAGTCCCCAAGAGCGACACGACTCTACACGATAGTTTAATTCATACCAGATCACATTCACCAGAGGAGCATGGCCCTGCCTCCTTCCAGTGAGATGGGCAGAGCTAACATATCGACCCTGTGACCAACATGGCCGGTTTTCTCTGTGGAACAAGTCCCCAATAAAGATACACCTCTGCACCAAAGTGAAAGCTGAACGCTGTGTCCACTCACAGGCTTGATGTCCGCGTGGACGATTTTCCTGGAATTGATGTGGCGCAAGAACTTGAGGATGCCCCTGGTGTAGGTTTTCACCATCGCCATGTCCAGCCGCCGGAGCCCCGCATTTCTAATCACTTCATGAAGGCTCTCCCTGTGAGAGAGGCAGAAGCAGCAACAAAAACACAGCATCAGTACCATCCGCTACAATGCTGCACTGATTCTGATAACGATAATCATGTTCATATTGTACGTTCATGTGCCAATATTAAGAGTTATAGTGTGGGTTGAGGTAGTCAATTTGCCCATAAACCAAATCAGTTGGCATATCTGCCCACTTGACAACTTGATTTTATTGGCTTTGTTGCCGGGTGGTCGAGGGTTATCCATTGGGAGAAGATAAAAACTCCACACAGAACAGAAGCTCGGGATTTTCGCCGAGAGGCACAAGCATCACCACTGCCATGCAGCCACCCTGCTGATTGAGTGGAGGCGTGGGTTGGTGAAAGTGGCAGGGCTAATGGAGAAAAGACAAGTGGCCTCCAATGCACCCGTGGCACATGGCAGCTCCACAGGATTACAATGCAGGGGTGGTGGCGTGGGCATCTCAACATTAACAGCTTACTCTTTGGTTCTTTCGGTAAAGTCACGTATAAAGATAAAATAATAAATTAAATAATAGCATACGACGTTTCGATTGCAACACAAGCAATCATCATCAGGTATAAATGAAATGAAATAGCAACAAAAATCTAACCAGAAAACTATAGACAGACATATAAGCAGACAGATATCACCAAGATACATATGTCTGTCTAGTTTTCTGGTTCGATTTTAGTTGCTATTTCATTTATACCTGATGATGATTGCTTGTGTTGCAATCGAAACGTCGTATGCTGTTATTTAATTTATTATTTTATCTTTATACGTGGCTTTACCGAAAGAACCAAAGAGTAATTCCTGCAGTCACGAAAGCTCCAAAATTAAGAATTAACAGCTTGCCGCGGTGGCGAGATGACATCTCCCCCGCCTGGTATGGAGGAGGTCCTAGGTTTGATCCCGACCGTGATGCCTGTACATTTGGAGTTTGCATGTTCTCCCCGTGGGTACGTGGATTTTTCTGTGGGTCCACTCGTTTTCTCCTCCACATTTATAATCAAAATGCTACTTTTCGATTTAAAGCTTTTGTGACTGCAGGGATTCATCTTCTTGGTTCTTTCGGTAAAGTCACGTAGAATGGAAATAATAAAATAATAAAAATAAAACATAATAAAATAATTCTCACGACGTTTCGGCCACAACGCAAGCAGCCGTCCTCAGGTGAAGAACAGGTCCTGTCGGGGAGACAGAGTCTGTCTACGTGACTTTACCGAAATAACCAGGAACAAAAATGCTACTTTGTTAAGCTTTTATTTGTGGTCTGGTCGCTTCTAAAAAATAACGAAAGTTTGTTAAGTTAGTTAACCACGTTATTGGCGGAGGGGGGGGGGGGGGCATGCAGTACATACTTCAACAGCTCCATGACGATACAGTAGTGTCCTCTGAAATGAAATATGTTCAGGACTTTGATGACGTTGAAATCTTCATCACTGCCCTCGTCCTGAAGTTCCAGAGCTATCTGGAGCTCCATCTTCTGGTATGTTTCTTGCTTGGAGCTGCACAGAGGAAGTCCACAAATGAAGAGCCTACATTTTCTTTAGGGATATCCAGAGCCAAATTCTACTCACAATAAAATAATTCAATATGAATTCACCAGGTCTAACAGCACCAGGGGTTCCAGTAGCACACTCGACTATCATTGGTGAGGAGCTCCCACAGAGGGAGCAGGAGCCGACGTAGGGCACCCAATAGGATTTGGAAGTGAAGAACCATTCAAATCGGATTGGTCATTTGAGAAATCTAAATGCAAACGCATGTTAACACAACGCATTCTCACTTCAATATGCCTCTTCCATTCGGGCACACTTTTCGCATAACGCGGAATGTGCCCGTAATAACACGAACGCGCCCATTGCAACACGGAACGCTTCTCATAACGTAGAACACGCCTGTTAAAGCACGGAACCCGCCCGTTATAACACGATCTGTGAGTAGTCGACAACAAACTACTTTCTTGAGCTGCAATGATACATTACTCGCAATGATAAAGTAACGTGACGGCATACCCTCAGTTATTTGTCTCGTCATCTCAAGGTGTATGAGTGCATTGTATCTCGCCAAACATTATTATTACATTATTTATGGGGAAATTACTTTCGCTCAATACTTTTTTGCTGAACGCGGAACTTTTCAGGAATGTATCTACAGCATTAAATGAGGAATTCCCGTAATGTGCAGGTAATCTTTCAGCAATGGGATGTTTTGCCCCAATATTAGTTTACACTGTGTGTGTGTATTTTAAGCTTTAGGAAGGAAAAATCTGAGAACCCAGAAGGAACTGATGCAGAACAGGGGTAGAACATGCAAACTCCATACAGCAGAGCACCCGAATCAGGAGTCGAACCCAGGCCCCCCTTCTCGCTTTGATGTACGAGTGTCACCGCTGCATCGCACGGCTGCCCATGGCAACGGACTTAACAACAATATCGGCCTCGTGACGGTGCGGCTCTGAAGTCTTACCTCGATGGTGACACCAGGATCTTGATGGCCACCAGGATGTTCCTTTTGTGATCAAGGCACTGGATCACCTGGCCTTGACCTCCTTCTCCAATCTTCTTCAGCACCTCATAGCGATAGCGGAGGTGCTCATGCCGGAACTGCACAAAAGGTACAATCGTTGCAAAGTGAATATAATTAAAATCACAAAGTTTAAGAAGCGAGAATGTATATTCTTTGGAATATGCAAATTCCTTTGTCAAGGCGCTCTTCCCCCTCCAACCCAGATTAAATATACGCTGCCAAGCCTGGTGGTGTTTCATTCAGACGCTGTCTTTCTGACAGACCTGTTCTTCACCTGAGAACGGCTGTTTGCGTTGTGGCCGAAACGTCGTGAGAATTATTTTATTATGTTTTATTTTTATTATTTTATTATTTCCCTTCTACGTGACTTTACCGAAAGAACCAAGAAGATCTTTCGGTAAAGTCACGTACATAGATTGAAAGAAAATAACAAAAAACAATCACGGGTTGCCGGGTGAAAATGATCATGTTAATGACAGTTTAGTATGTTAATGGGATATTGCAGAGCCACAACCGAGGGGTCGGCACTCAAAGTGGCTGTGTTAGTGTGAAAGCGCAAGTTTGAAATGGGCAAAAAGCACAACTATCATCAGAAGGTGGTAGGATGGGAAGATCACAGCCAGTTATGACTTAAACTGGTTGATAATGTCCTTCCAATGATTACTCAGTTTGCACCCATCTTCTCGGTTTAAATTGTGTCTGTGTCGATTAAAATGGATGGCTTCATGAATGAATCTTTGTTGATAGCCAGTGGGCTTGCAAAGTACCTTCGTCTTAGAGAAATACATTTCATGTGAGCCCACCGCATTAAAACAATGATCAGCCACGGCTGAGGTATTGGTCCTACAGTGTTTCAGATCCTACCTAGTTTCGGATTTGACTTATGTTCACGAACATCAGGCAGATCTGAAACTGTCGGGTTTGCTGTCCACCACTTGCATTAATATTGGCTGCTGACATTTGGGCAATGCCCATTTCAAACCCTAATAAACAGTTTGCCTTTGGAAGCAAACCCCCCTTTTCCTGAAGTCGACCGATTTTGTTGCGATTGAAACGTTGTAGTTTTAGTTTTTTGTTATTTTCTTTGAACCTATCTACGTGACTTTACCGAAAGACCCAAAAAATATTAATTCCTGCAGTCACGAAAGCTTTAAGTCAAGATTTAAGTGAGAATGTAATTTTCTAATATATTTTCTGTAATGATTACGTTTTTTTAAATCTGTCATTGTGGAATGTTCTGATGTCTGCTGGCTCAGTCACCCTTCAAAATAGAGCTTCTTAGCTCAATGGGATTTACTCGCAATAAAAAATTCTGATTCTGAAGTACATTGGTGTGTGTGATAGCCCTGGTTGGTACTTCAGGTGCAATAACAAGAAGCCACAAACCACGCTACCGATGGGCCCTGTGACTGCCCCCACAGCTGGTGTTTTGTTGCGAGCCTCACCAGAATGTAATTTCGTTCGTAGTCGTCGTATCCATCATTGTTGAATCCCTGAGATTTGTTGAAAAGTGCAAAGTACCACACTTCCTGCATGGCTGCGAGTTCTAGCTTCTCACGGTTGGTCAAGTGAGGGCCAAAGAGAGCCAGGATTTCTGCAGACATGAGAATAACAACATCTGTGTGATCGCAAACTTGAGCAATTTGTAGGAAAATATTACAGGATTGGGATGTTTTGGCCAATACCAGTTATGTCTGTATGTATGTTGAACTTCTTTTGCACCGTACGTAGGCAATGGTGCCAAATGGATACGCGGGGGAAGGAAAATTATTCTAAACATGAAAAGTTCTAAAGAAAGTAGTTTTCAATCTAGATGATTTAAAAGTGTATAGCTCCAGTGGCTTCCTAATATCGGAAGTGCATCTGAAAGCGTGTGATGTGCTGAGGCCAGAGCACACATAATCACCCCCATGCAACATGGCCACCATGATGCAGTCCCCCATGCAACATGGCTACCATTAAGTTCCGCATGCAACACTGCCAACATGAAGTCCCCCATGCAACATGGCTACCTAGATATCACCCATGCATCATGGCCGCTATGAAATCTCCAATGCATCACGGCCACTGACATCCACCATGCAACATGGCCGCTATGAAATCTCCAATGCATCACGGCCACTGTGACATCCACCATGCAACATGGCCGCTATGAAATCTCCAATGCATCACGGTCACTGTGACATCCACAATGTAACATGGCCGCTATGACATCTCCAATGCATCACGGCCACTGTGACATTCACCATGCATCATGGCCGCTATGAAATCTCCAATGCATCACGGCCACTGTGACATCCACCATGTAACATGGCCGCTATGAAATCTCCAATGCATCACGGTCACTGTGACATGCACCATGTAACATGGCCGCTATGAAATCTCCAATGCATCACGACCACTGTGACATCCACCATGCAACATGGCCACTATGAAATCTCCAATGCATCACGACCACTGTGACATCCACCATGTATCATGGCCGCTATGAAATCTCCAATGCATCACGGTCACTGTGACATCCACCATGTAACATGGCCGCTATGACATCTCCAATGCATCACGGCCACTGTGACATGCACCATGCATCATGGCCGCTATGAAATCTCCAATGCATCACGGCCACTGTGACATCCACCATGTAACATGGCCGCTATGAAATCTCCAATGCATCACGGTCACTGTGACATGCACCATGTAACATGGCCGCTATGAAATCTCCAATGCATCACGGTCACTGTGACATGCACCATGTAACATGGCCGCTATGAAATCTCCAATGCATCACGGTCACTGTGACATCCACCATGCAACATGGCCGATATGAAATCTCCAATGCATCACGGTCACTGTGACATCCACCATGCAGCATGGCCGCTATGAAATCTCCAATGCATCACGGTCACTGTGACATCCACCATGCAGCATGGCCGCTATGAAATCTCCAATGCATCACGGCCACTGTGACATCCACCATGCAACATGGCCGCTATGAAATCTCCAATGCATCACGGCCACTGTGACATCCACCATGCATCATGGCCGCTATGAAATCTCCAATGCATCACGGTCACTGTGACATCCACCATGCAACATGGCCGCTATGAAATCTCCAATGCATCACGGTCACTGTGACATCCACCATGCATCATGGCCATTGTGATGTTCCACCATTCACCATGGCCCTCTGTGACGTCCCTCATTACTGTCCTTACCTTGCGGTGATTTGCTGCAGATGGAGGCGTTGCCCTCTGAGGACAGCGCACTCCACGTGGTGCAAGATTCGCCCTTACTCCTCGCCTCTCCACCTCGGCTCATCTACACACACACAAAGACAAAGGTCCACCACGTAAACTTTAGCAAGATGTTGGGGAAAGCGCAGGAGGCGAGCACTGAGCCAGGATCTCTGAGATCCCGGGCTCCACAATCAGGAGGGTCCTGCCAAGATGTTGTGTCAGTTCTCAGCGTTGGGATATTTGGTCAATATCTGATGTCACACTTGGATTTACAATGAGACACGTGTGGCATCCTTCAAACTGATAAGAGAAGTGGGGCTGGGCCAGGACATGCCACGGCCAGGAGGAACAACGATGGCCGATGGTCAAGAAGAATAACGGAGCTGCAGCCAAGTATCGGAGCACGTTTGAGAGGACAGCTTCCAGAAAGATGGAGCGACAAAATCGGTGCTTGGTGGATTATGCCATTGCAGGATCATGAGGGGTAGCAGGAACTCAGGGAAGGAGGCCTTCATCCAGTAGTGGATAATAAAAGTACTGTAGATTATTCACGTGTAGACAGGCAGGTACACAGACAGGATCTCGGGGGAGATACTCTGATAGATGCACACACACTCAGGCAGGCAAGTAGATGTACACTCAGGTATATGGATAGGCGACAGGTAGCCTCACGCAGAGTGGAGAGCACACGTCCATCAATACTTCACCACACGAGTCGAAGAGCCACACGTACCTCCATGGTAGCAACTTGCAGAGCAGGGTGCAAAGATCTCACAGCGTCTCTCGCACAGTCCGGGTCTCTGCGTGCGGAGCAGGAGACGAAGGCGAGGATCACAAAGAGTCGAGAGGGCGTGAGGGCTCCCAGATCTCAACATGAGTCACAACGCGGGCTTACATCCTCACCATGAACCCACATTGTCAACACAGACTCACATCATCACCACTCACAACACGAAATACAAAAACAACAACAACCGACATTCGCCACTAAGTAGGGGTGATGACACCACGGCACCTGTGCCGGGCCAGGTGCACTTTTAGTCCACGTGAAGTGTCGAAGGCTGACAAGACGTCACGGGATAGACCCAGGTTCCAAAGGTTGGCTGAGATGACTGGTAGATACACCAGCTGTATCCCCAACTGTGCCAACTTGTTGAATTTTATCCGCTACTCGTTGTGAGCGTCACTCCTCTGTCCTCAGTTGTTGTTGGAAGGCGACTGCCTCCTACTGCCCGGTAGGATCCTTCACGAGCTTCCTCGTGAAGGATGCTATCCACACCACTGATACCAGTCTTCTGCAAGTCCACTCAGCTCCACATCCTCCCATACAGCATCAGTCCATATTTTGACAGCCCATGTCGTGCCCGTTTAGCCCCCTTTATGCAACCAAAATAAACTGCTTGGGTATGCGGTCTACAAGACCCAGCCAATGCAGCCTTGCCTGCCGGACGAACTTACTGGTGGGAATGTCTCCAGATCTTTCAAGCATTTGTGAGCCCCTCACACAATCCAGCCTGGTTAAACCCAGGATGGATCGTACAATCAACAACACCACCATCACCAACAATACCACCAACACCACCACCACCACCACCAACAAGACTATCACCACCATCAACACCATAACCAAAAACATCACCAATACCACCCCCATCAACATCACCTCCATCAACACCACTAACATCACCACAACCAACACCACCACCAAGACCACCAACACGACCACCAATAACACCACAATCAACAACACCACCATCAACACCACGAACACCAACAATACCACCACCATCAACACCACCAACACCAACACCACCACCAAGACCACCAACACAACAACCACCAACACCACAATCAACAACACCACCATCAACACCACCATCAACATCACCAACACCACCACCAACACCACCACCAACACCATCACAAACACACCAACACGACCACCACAACCACCAACAACACCACCATCACAAACAACACCACCAAGACCACCACCAACAACACCACCAACTCCACCAATACCACCACCATCAACACCACCAATACCACCACCATCAACACCAACAACACCACCACCACTAACAACAAAGATAAAGATCCCCCTTATAGCTGAAATAGACTGTTGGGGCAAGTGCTGTTAGCCAGCAACACCTATGAAGGGCAGAACGGCACACGAGGGGGTGGGTGGCCAGCACCACGCCCGGCCGCCTTTGTGTTTACACACACACAGACTCACACACACACAGACTCACACACACACAGACTCACACACACAGACTCACACACACACAGACTCACACTCACACAGACTCACACACACGCAGACTCACACACACGCAGACTCACACACACGCAGACTCACACACACGCAGACTCACACACACACAGACTCACACACACACACAGACTCACACACAGACTCACACACACACAGGCTCACACACACACAGACTCACACACACACAGACTCACACACACACAGACTCACACACACACACAGACTCACACACACACAGACTCACACACACACACAGATTCACACACACACAGACTCACACACACACAGACTCACACACACACAGACACACACACACACAGACTCACACACACACAGACTCACACACACACAGACTCACACACACACAGACTCACACACACACAGACTCACACCATTTCTCACCTTCGCCAGATGCTCCCCCGACTCTCTAACGGACAAACTGCCTGAGGGAGACACGAGGGGGCGGTACCAAGTGACCACGCCCACTATGACGTCGCAGACCTAAGCTCCTCCCCCCACCGGAGCCCCTCCCCCCATGCCCAACCCCTCGCCCCGCCCCTTCACCCCCCTAGCCCCGCCCCTTCACCCCCCTCGCCCCGCCCCTCCCCCCGCTGCTACTTCCGCTGAGGCCGGGGCGAGTGGAGGCGGCGCTGTGCATTGTGGGTGGCGAGCGGACGGTTTGGATTCCCGCTCGCGGCCACCGTCGGCGGCTCGCTGGCTGGGCCTCCTCTAGGTCGACTCAGCCCGAACAAGGCGAGCACCTTGCACGCTGTGGACGCAGCAGCAGCAGCAGCAGTGGCGGTGGTGGGGGGGGGCAGAGGAGGCGCCTGCTGAGTTCACGGCCCTGCTGCTGCTGCTGATGAGGAGAGGCACTGCCAGATTGTGGCTGATGGGATGAGTTACATTTAGTTGTTTGTGTCTCTGGAGGGGCGGATTTGTTGTCGTGGCAGAAATGGCCTCGACTAGAGGCCGCGATGTGGAGTGTTTGGTCTACTCTTCCACGCTGGGCGTGCCCGCACTTTACCCCGATACACACGCGGGGCGTGAGCTCACTGGGCTTGCAATGCAGAGGTGCAGGTTCGAGTCCATTTCTCACTCAGCCACTCGGCCATTCAGTCACTCAGCCACTCACCCACTCACCCACTCAGCCACTCACCCACTCACTCACCCACTCAGCCACTCACCCACTCACTCACCCACTCAGCCACTCACCCACTCACTCACCCACTCAGCCACTCACCCACTCACTCACCCACTCAGCCACTCAGCCACTCACCCACTCAGTCACTCAGCCACTCACCCACAGAGGGATAACGACCCTTCATGCAGTGGTTGTGTAGTATCTGCGTCAATGTTTTTGTTGTTTAGTTATGGTGGTGGTTATGGTGGTGGTTGTGGTGGTGGTTGTGGTGGTGGTTGTGGTGGTGGTTGTGGTGGCGGTTGTGGTGGTTGTGGTTGTGATCATGGCTTTTGTTTTGGTTGTATAGGTGGTTGTAGTGGTGGTGGAGGTTACAGGTGTGGTGTAGATGGTTATGTTGGTTGTTATGGTAGTTGTGGCTCTGGTTGTGGTGCTTGTGGTGGTTTAACTTGTGGTTATAATTGTGGTTATGTAAGTTGTGGTTATATGTGCAGTTGTGGTGTATGTGGTTATATTTGTTATAATTGTGTAGGTTGTGGTTGTAATAGTCATAGTTGTGGTGTAGGTGGTTATGATGGTTGTTATGGTAGTTGTATTTTGAACTTCAATTGCACCCTACCCAGCCGACCGTGCTAATTGGAGGTGTGGTTATCGTTGTGGTTATTTTATGGTTGTTTTGGTTTTAGTTGTGGTGGTGATTGTGGTTGGTGCAGGTGCTGGGATGAAGGATGCGTTCCGTGTCCTCTGCCCATGCGGCTCCAACAACGATTGCTCCAGCCAGCACTGCCACCCCTGTGGTCACATGACCTTGCCTCCCAGCATACCTTGCAGTCGTCATTGATTCTGGGCCATCTTTACCTCCTGCATTTCTATAGGAGCTCTCACTTCCTCCACGCTCTCTCCTCCAACCTCTGCTCTCTCTCCCCGTGTCTCCATCCCCCTTCTTTCTGGATGGTCCAGGTTCAGGGGTCAGGAGTTGACTGGCTGCACTCCGACCTTTGACCTTGGCTGTCACCCGAGTGGGATTGTCGCACATCAGTCAACCCATAGTATCAGGATCTGTCCCGTGACCGCCTCCTATACCTAGCCTGGAACAGCAGTCAACCTGTGGCACCCAGATCTGTCCTGTGACCTCCTCCTGCGACACCTAGCCTGGCACAGCAGTAAACCCATGGCACCTGGGTCTGTCCCATGACCTCCTCATCCTGCAACTAGCATGGCACATAAGTAAACCCATGGCACCTGGGTCTGTCCCGTGTCCTACTGCTCCTGCACCTAGTCTGGCACAGCAGCCAACCCATGGCACCTGGGTCTGTCCCATGACCTCCTCCTGCACCTAGTATGGCACAGCAGTCAACCCATGGCACCTGGTTTGTTGTGATGACATTACCGCCACGTAGTGGCGAATGGCAGCCATTGTCGTTGTGAGTTTGTGGGCTTGTGTGTGAGTAATGGTGATTGAGTGTGTGACTATCATGTCGTGTGCGTGTGAGTTGGATGGTAGGAGTGTGTTTATGAGGGTGAGTGTGTGGGTGTGTGAGTATCATGGTGAGTATGTGAGTGATGGTATGTGACAGTGTGAGTTTGATGGTAATTGTATCATGGTGAGTGCAAGCAATACTGTGAGCTTGACTTATTTCCCCCCCCCCTCCTTTTACCCACTCTTCCTCCCTCTCCCTGCCCTCCCCTCACTCTCCCCCAACCCTCTACTTCCCTCTCCTTCCCTGCCTCTATCCCTCTCGGCGTGGCCGAGTGGTTACTTCTAAAGAATTATGGAACTCTTTATCCCTCTCCTTTCTCCCGTAACTACCTCACCTGTTATACAGGAGATCGTGGGTTTGATCCCTACCCTCAAACCTGCTATATATTTCGAGTTTGCATGTCTCTCCCCGTGGTCGCTTTCAGAGTGTTTGGTTTCTATAAATGTCGACGTGATGATAGCCCACTTCGTTGACCTATCATTTGTGGCATTTTCCCTTCTGAAGAAGAGCTGTGCAGCTCGGTGGGCATTACCTGGAAAAATTTAAATAGTTTAGTTTCCTCTTTTCCTCCTCCCTTTATCCCTCTCCACACCCCCTCCCCCCCAGCACAACAACAAGAAGCAGGAGGAGGATGGTTTGTCTCCCAAGCCGAGCGCTTCCGGGTCCACCTTCATGATCCTCCCTCTGCCCCGGGGGGGGGGGGGGGGGGGGGGAGATCCCCTCGCACAGGGTTACGGTACCCCACCCACATACACACGGGGTTACGGTGCCCCTGCCACACATACGCACAGGGGTACATGCCAGGCTATGTGCACCACACAGAGACCCAAAGACTCGCACATAGATCCATAGACTCACACAGACCCATTGACTCACACAGAAACCAATTAACTCAAACAAAGACCCGTCACAACACGGACAATATACTTACACAAAGACCCATAGACTCATACAGACTCATCCACTCGTGCACCCACCCACTCAACGACTCACAGGCTTACTCGCTCACCCAATCCCTCACCTACTCACTCAGCCGCTCACTCAGAAACTCACTCAAGAACTCGCTCACCCATTTACCCACCCACTTGCTCACCCACTCGTGCATCCACTCACAGAATCACTCATAAACTCACCCACTCACACGCTCAGAAACTGACTCACAAAATAATTCACCCACTCACTCGTGCACTCACTCGCCCACTTACCCATGCGCGCACAGATTTACCCACTTACTTACTCGCTCACAGACTCCCTCTCTGATAGACTCGCTCATAAACTCACTCGCTCAGACTCAATCACTTACAGACTCGCTCAGAAGCTCTCACCCAGAAACTTATTCAGAAACTCACTCCACCACCGACCCACTTACTTTAAAACTACCTCACTTATCAGCACCCACTCACTGATCTACTTACTCATCCACTCGCTCAGCCACTCACTGACCAACTCACTCACTCACAGACTCAGTCGCTCACTCATCCACCTCGAAACTCATTCATCCACCCACCACTCAATAATTTCATCCATTCACTCATCCACTCACTCAACCACTCACTCATTCAACAACCCACTCACTCACCCACTCACTTGGAGACTCTCACCCACTCACTCACCCAGTCTATTAGCCACTCATTCAGAAACTCACTCACCTACTCACTCACCCACACAATCGATCAATCACTCATGTACTAAATCACCCACCCACACACTCACTCACCCACTTTTCCACTCACTTAAGAACCCACTCCCTCAACCACCAACTCAGAATATCACTCCTCCACTCACTCACCCATTTACTCACCCACTCGCTCACCCACTCATTCAACAACTTTCTCACTCGTGGACTCACTTGCTTATCCACTCACTCTTCTATTCACTCATCCAATCTCTCACCCACTCGCTCACCCACTCGCTCACCCACTCGCTCACCCACTCGCTCACCCACTCGCTCACCCACTCGCTCACCCACTCGCTCACCCACTCGCTCACCCACTCGCTCACCCACTCGCTCACCCACTCGCTCACCCACTCGCTCACCCACTTACTCACAGACTGACTCAGGAACCCACTCATCCAAGCATTCACTCACTGACTCACTCACCCATTCATTTAACCATTCACTCACAGACTCACTCAGACTCACTCACTCACAGACGCACAAAGAAGCTCACTAACCCACTAACCGATTCAGAAACTCAGTCAACCACCAAATCACCTACTCAAAAACTCCTTTACTCATCCGGACTCACTCACTAACCTATCTACTCATTTACTCAATCAGCCACACTTACTCACTAACTCGCTCACTCATGCACTCAGAAAATCACTCATTCACTCACTTAGAAACTCCTACAATCACTGACCCACTCGCTCAAAAACTCACTCATCTACTCTCTCGCTCACTTTCTTATTTACTCACACACTCCTTCACCAATTCACTCGTTTCCCCACTCATTCTTTCAGTCACTCACTCATTCAGCAACTCGGTCAATCATTATCTAATTCAATCACTCACCCATTCACTCGGAGACTCACTCGCTCACTCATCCTCCACTCACTCACCCACTAACCCACTCAGAAACTCACTCAGCTACTCACTCACCACTCATTCACCCACTCATCCACTCATTGAATAAATCACCTACTCGCCCACTTTCTCAACCACTCAATCAGAAACTCATTCACCTACTCACCCACACACTCACTCACCCACTTACACTCGGGAGAGGGTGGTTTTAGAGTTCAGTGTTAATCATTGGGACTCCCATAGGGTTCAGTGTTGGTCACTGGGTCTCCCATAGGGTTGAGTGTTAATAAATGGGTCTCCCATAGAGTTCAGTGTGACTCACTTGGGCTCCCATCGGGTTCAGTGTTAATCACTGGGTCTCCCATAGGGTTCAGTGTTAATCACTGAGGCTCCCATCGGGTTCAGTGTTAATCACTGAGGCTCCCATCGGGTTCAGTGTTAATCACTGGGGCACCCATAGGGTTCAATGTTAATAAATGGGGCTCCCATAGGGTTCAGTGTTAATCACTGGGCCACCTATAGGGTTCAGTGTAATCACTGGGGCTCCCATAGGGTTGAGTGTTAATCACTGGGTCTCCCATAGTGTTCAGTGTTAATCACTGGGGCTTCCATATAGTTCTGTGTTAATCACTGGGGCTCCCTTAGGGTTAATGTTAATAACTGGGACTTCCATAGGGTTCAGTGTTAATCACTGGGGATCCCATGGTGTTGAGTGTTAATCACTTGGTCTCCCATAGAGTTGAGTGTTAATCACTTATAGATTCGAAGCTTTCGTGACTGCAAGGATTCATACTTTTAGTTCTTTCGGTAAAGTCACGTAGGTAAAAAATGAAATTAAAATTTTTACCTACATGACTTTACCGAAAGTACTAAGAGTATGTTAATCACTTGGTCTCCCATAGGGTTCAGTGTTAATCACTGGGGCTCCCTTGGGGTTAATGTTACTCACTCCCATAGAGTTCGTTGTTAATTATAGATTTGAAGTTTTCGTGACTGCAAGGGTCCATATTCTTTGTTTTTTTCAGGTAAAGTCACGTAGGTTACAAAATAAAATAAAAATAAATTAAATCACGACGTTTCGGAGGCAACACAAGCTTCCGTCTTCAGGTGGCACCGTCACAGCAGTAATTTTGCTGACGGTGCCACTTGAAGACGGAAGCTTGTGTTGCCTCCGAAACGTCGTGATTTCGTTGTTAATCACTGGGGCTCCCATAGGATTCAATGTTACACACTGAGTCTCCCATAGGGTTCAGTGTTAATCGTTGGGTCTCCCAAAGGGTTCATTGTTAATCACAGACCCATAGATTCCTAAAAACCTAACCCTATAAACACCTAAGCCTCTATACCCCTAACCCTCGAAACTCCTATACTCCGAAAACTATAACCCTCAAATCCCCTTCACCCTTAACACCCTAACCTTTTAATCCCTTAACCCTTAAACCCCTCACCCTCTAAACCCTTCACCCACTAAACCCCTCACCCTCTAAACCCCTATGCCTCTAAATCCAACCCCCTAACCCTTTGAACCCCTAACTTTCTCCAATCCCATAATAAAGGTTTTTTTTTGCGGTAAGATCGTGTGAATATAAAGTGTCTTAAAACCCATCACCACACCGATACAGCCAATTAATAAAGTTTGTCACGTGAACAAAAAGTGCCAATTAGTTTCTACTTTAGCACATCGGTGTGTTGGAGACTAACCCAAATTAACCTTTATTATGAATAACCCCTCAACCCCATAACTCCCCCTGCGCCACCCCCCATGTCCCCCCTCACCCCCCTCACCCCCCCCAGCTGCTACTTCCGTTAAGGCCGGGGCAAGTGGAGGCGGCGCTGTGCATTGTGGGTGGCGAGAGGCTGATTTGGATTCCCTCTCACGGCCACCATTGGTGGTTCGCGAGCTTCTGAAGTGGCGGCTCGCTGGCTGGGCCTCCTCTACGTCGACTCAGCCAGAAGAATGTAAGAACCAAGCGCGGTGTGGACACATCAGCAGTGGCGCTGGTGGGGGGGAGACAAAGGAGTCACCTGGCCTACAAGGTGCCTCCTTTGTCTCCCTCCTCTCTCTCCCCGTGTCTCCCTCCTCTCTCTTCCCGTGTCTCACTCCTCTCTCTCCCCGTGTCTCCATCCTCTCTCCCCGTGTCTCCCTCCTCTCTCTCCCCGTGTCTCCCTCCTCTCTCTCCCCGTGTCTCCCTCCTCTCTCTCCCCGTGTCTCCCTCCTCTCTCTCCCCGTGTCTCACTCCTCTCTCTCCCCATGTCTCACTCCTCTCTCTCCCCGTGTCTCCCTCCTCTATCTCCCCGTGTCTCCCTCCTCTCTCTCCCCGTGTTTCCCTCATCTCTCTCTCCCCGTGTCTCCCTCCTCTCTCTCTCTCTCCCCGTCTCTCCCTCCTCTCTCTCCCTCCTCTCTCTCCCCGTGTCTCCCTCCTCTCTCTCCCCATGTCTCCATGTCCCCTTCTCTCTAGGTGGTGCAGGTTCAGGAGTTTACTGGCTGCACTCCGACCTTTGGCCTTGGCTGTCGCCCAAGTGGGATTGTCGCACAGCAGTCAAACCCATAGCATCAGTATCTGTCCCATGACCTCCTCCTGCACCTAGCCTGGCACAGCAGTCAACCCATGACACCTGGCTCTGTCTCGTGACCTCCTGCACATAGCCTGGCACAGCAGTCAACCCATGGCACCTGGGTTGTTGTGATATCACCATTATGTAGTGGAAAATTACGGCTGTTGTCGTTGTGAGTTTATAGGTTTGTGTGAGTAATGGTGCGTGTGTGACTTTAATGACGTGTGTGAGAGTAGGATGGTAGGGGTGTGTGAGTGTCATGGTGAGTGTGGGTGTGTGAGTATTATGGTGAGTGTGGGTGTGTGAGTATTATGGTGAGTGTGTGGGTGTGTTAGATGGCTGGCAATGTTGGTGGGTGGTGATGATGATGCAAGCCTTGTGCTCGAGAATGGCACACTGAAACTAATATCATGTAGCTACTTCTGAGTACCCTTCAAGTGCTGTCTGGTCCACATTGTAAAGGGCAGGACTTTCCCACCTGCTCTTTATTTAAGAGCAACGTTGGTCACAACAATGTTATTACTTCTTACAGCTGGAATTTATCCTAAGTACATGGAGAACCACATTGCAGCCATGTGATAGTTGATGTTGTGCAGTGAATGATGACCGGGCTGAGACCATTAACTCGCTCGACTTGAGAATCTGCTTTGATCACAGGTGACTGCCTGGATTCAATCCCAGGTACTCCGTGGTGCCAATTCAGTGCTATGACCGCAAGGTCCATGGGCCACCTCTAAACACCCCCACGTTAAAGACATAAGCAGCAACCTGTTTAGTGAGCAGCAGCATTCTTTAAATATTTTTCCAAAGCAATTGGGATTGTGGAGCAGTGGCACAGTCCTGCATTTCCTTTCTCTTTAATCCACCAAATGCAACTTGCCGCTCGATTGTGGCGCACCCATTTTTACACTTGTTTCAACTGCTGTGGCAGATGGTGGAGCAGAGGGGCAGTGGAGCAGATTGGCAGTGGAGCAGGACAGTAAAGCAGAGCGCAGTGGAGAAGTGGGGCAATAGAGCAGAGGAGCAATGGAGCAATGAGGCAGTGGAGCAAAGGAGCAGTGGGGCATTGGAGCAGTGGATCAGTGGGGCAGATGAGGGGTGGATTTGTCGTGAAGAAGGCGAATCATCTGAATATGTGCTCTGAAGAAGAACCATTTCCCAAAACGTCTCTTTTTATCTATGTCCTTGTCCCGCCGCACACACAGCCGGGACACGGCACACACGAGCCAAGGCACATTTAACCAACCCAGGCAGCACTCGCAAGCAATGCAACATTACGTTGTGTCCTCATGAGTTGATTTCACAAAGTTTATAGTAACAACAACAACAAAAATATTGATCCTAATTCTTAACCGGGTGGCCTTAAGACTTGGCACGTGCAGGTTTTGTTCATTGTCTGCACCAGACCCCTGCAGCCGTCTCTTTCTGGGTCAGCTGCCCCTTACATGTCCTGGAAACCATGGCAAGGTCATCGCATGAGGACCGCCTGGATGAAAACCAGCATGGAAGGGGCCCAGTGTGGGGCCGGCTATGCTAATGGAATAGTCCCATGTGTGTGTGTGTGATGTGAGGTGTCCTGGAAGCAGTCATTCTCCGCTGCAGTACTGGCATCTGCTGCTCAGTTTCATCCCCCAGCTGTGGTCCCAGTGGCACCGTGGGTCGTGTGGTGATAGCAGTCACGGTTGGCGCCGATCCGCGGCCACCACCCCTACTGGGCGGTGTACCTGCCTCCACAAAGTAGCATGTGGCGGAGGAGTGAGGTGAACGCTCTCGCCATGCGAGCGAGGCCCCCTCGCTTCCTCTTCTTTTCGTGCATCTCCACCTGCACCTCCTCCATCTTCTCCTCTGTCTCATCCTCCATCCCCTCTTCTCCTCCTCCACTAGCACCATCTCTTCTTCCTCCATCTTCTCCTCACCCTCCTGCACCACCATCTCCTCCACCCTCTTCTCTTCCTCCTCCACCACCACCATTGTTTCCGCTTTGTCCATCGTCTCCATCTCCTCCACCACGACCATCTGTTCATCCTTTGTTGTCTCCTTGTCCTCCATCTCCGTATTGTCTTTATCCTCTCCCTCCGTGCTCTCCTCCATTGTCGCCATCACAATCTCGTCCTCCTTTGCCTTCTCTTCCTCCGTCTCTACTTCATTCTCCATCTCCTTCACCTCTTCCTTCGTCTCCTTCTGCACAACCTCTGACTTCGCTTCAAAGGCCTGGACGAGTGGGGAGGAGGGCTGCTTTGGCTCAGATCTGTGAAGAGACAAACACGACACCGTTCCACCTTCCTGCTACGGCAGACATCGCCATCTCCCATGGTCCGTGGGTGTAATGCGTGGCGCATTAATTCAAGCTTAATACAAACAGCAATAACGACATGGCCAGTGAGTGTGCTTAGCATTGGCGCTGTCATTCTCATGGGGCAAGGCTATCCTTGAGATTGATTCAGCTGTGTCTCACACAGACTGTTGTAGTTTCACAGTAGTGAGTGGCCTTGCTGTGTCAATTTAGCTGAATCATTTGTAGTGACATTTATCTTTCTATGTGTATTCTAATTGATCCCTTGGACATAATGGCCTACGCATTTAAACTGACATCGGTGGAGATCATGAACGTCCACTGTGATGGAATGGGTGTGTATCTTTGTGGTTAATGCAGCGGCAGTAATAGCCAGGGCAGGAAAGCAAGATCTGAACTGTAAGTGGTGAGCGATGAGTGCGCGATCCTTTGGCTGCTTCAACCCATCCACGATTTTCGATAAAAGATCCGACAGTGATTTGAGGTCGACAGAGCCGCCTCCCTTGACGTCGAAGGCATCTCAGAGTGCATTGAGCGCAATGAGCCACTCACATCTCTCATCTCAACGCATTTGAAATTGGACACCCCTCCCAGTGGTCGCTGTGTCTGTGCATTACAAGGCAACTTGTCAACTGGCCTGGAAACAGGCATGAGATTGCGAAATTATCACTGTGGATGGAGGGTTAAATGGTGAAATATGGCCGCATCGTTATCTGGTCTCACCCAGAAACCAATTATGGAAAGTAAATCTGTCCACAGTATAGCGCAATGTACACGTGGGGTTTGCAGTGTCTGTATATTTTGTGAGTGCGGCAGGGCTGGAGCACCTGTGCCTCACAGCAAAAGGGACCTGGGTTTGATTTCCACGTTGGGCCACGTTATCTGTGTGGAATGTGGTGCCCCCTGTTCTAGGAAGATTCAGCAGCTTTCTCCCTGTAACTGAACCCACACAATCAATGCAAATCGCTCCATTTGGATCACAAACAGCAGAAACTTTGTTACCAACTGCGAGCAAACTTGACAGGACCCTCCTGAAAAAAGTCTTGAGACTTAGTGAGGCTCATCCTGCCTAAACAAGCATGATAATAAATGAAAATAAACACACAGGACACATGCAAGAGTGGTTTACCGTGAATCAGCGGCTCCAGCGTTTACTTTTTCTTCTTGGAAGCCCTCTTCTCCAAAGCTCGGAGCAATCGGGCCCTGCACAGGAGTGGCGGTGGTGGTGGCGGCGGAGGTGGTATTGGTGGTGGTGCTGCTGGTGGTAGCGGTCTGGAGGCAGTGTTGCTCGATCTTGGCGAGGCGCTGCTCCTCGAGGCGCTTCTGCATGAGACGTTTCTCCTCGACAAGCTTCACCTTGCCAAGGCGCCTCTCAAGATGCTTCTTCTTGAAACGCTTCAGCTCTATGAGACGCTTCACCTCAGAGGCGATTGTCTTCCTTGACCCGCCTCTCCTCTATGAGGTGCTTCTCTTCCTCCACCCGCCTCTCCTCTGAGGCGCTTCTCCATGAGGCGCTTGTCTTCCTTTGACCCGCTTAGCTTCTATGAGGCGCTTCTCCTCATCGACATACTTCACAATGGCGAGGCGCTTCACCTCAGCAAGGTACTTTACCCTGGCAAGACGCTTCTCTTCCAGATGCTTCTCCTTGAGATGCTTCACGTCGCGAAGGCGCTTTTCCTCCATGAAGCGCGTTTCCTCAAGGAGGCGCTTTTCCATGACGCGTTTCATGTCATTGAGGATCTTGTTTCTAAGGCACTTCTGCTCCGTGAGGTGCTTCAGCTTGGCGAGGCGCTTCACCTCAATGGGGCGCTTCTCTTCCATGATGCGCTCCTCCACAAAGCGCTTCTCCTTGAGATGCTCCTCCTGGAGACGCTTCACTTCTGCGAGGTACTTCACTCTGGAGAGACGCTTCTCCTCACGGAGCCGCTTCTCCTCCATGAATCGCTTCTCCATGGAGCGCTTCTCCTCAATGACGCACTTCTCCATGAGGCAGTTCTTGAGGAGATTGTCTGGAAGGCATTTCTCCTCTGGGATGTGCGTCACCCTGGCAAGGCGCTTCATCTCAATGAGGCGGTCCTCTTCCATGGTGCGTTTCTCCTTCGCAAGGTGCCTGTTCTCCTGGAGACGCTTCACCCCGCTGAAGTTCTTCACCTCCCCAATGCTCCTCTGTTCACGAAGAAAAGCACAG